TGATCAAAATCTCACAAGCAAGCAATTATGGCAGGTAATCTACAGAAGATCAGACGTACAACAACTAAATAAATACTCCCTCCATCCCATTTTATGTGAGGTACTTTGACTCGGCACAGAGTTTAAGAGTTTAAGAAAGGAAGGAAGACTTTTAAAACTTGTGGTCTAAAATGAATGAGAGAAATTTGTGTGGCTATAAATCATTTCATTAAGGGTAAAATGGATATTTTAAAGCTAAATTGTTACTTAATATAAAAATATATTATCCTTTTTGAGACTGACTATAAAGGAAAGTAAGTCATATAAACTGGGACAGAGGGAGTATTGCAATAAGGAGATTGTTGATTTCCTCCTAAAAATAACTTGTGTCAAAAGCAGATACTTGGCTGCTTTAAACCTACCACTAGATTAAGTTGTAAATGCTATGGACTATAGGGGTGCTTTGTGTATTACCAGGTAGGTTTATCGATGTCCGGTTTGTAAACACCTTAAACCGATAACCAAACCAATAAGATATTTGTTATCGGGAGCCTGAATTTCTGGTCATCACAATCTAGCTAAGAAATCTCTTTACTCACCACTCCAAATAATATACAGAATTTTATACCCTTCAAACATTCAAGTCTGCTCGCAAAGATGAACTATGATCTTTAAAGCTTAAGCACCCAAAATAAGAGTATTTCATGGCTAAGCCATAGAACAAATTGACTATTTGAGAGAAAAACAACTACAAGTATACATGCCAGGGTAATCTTTATCTGTGCCATAGCAAAACAAAAAAATGAGAAAAACCTGGACTATTTCCTTCTTCTTGTGAACCTCTCCTTTAGGAAGTGGAACATACTCCTCAGCCTCAAGATCAAATTCTGTAGCAAAAGCATCACTCCTGCCCACTCTTTTAACTGCTCCACTGTTCGATTCAATGTAAATGACATCACCAACAGCTACCTGCACATATATCATGAAGGCAGGAGATACCAACAGAGAAGAATAAGCGCCCATGCAGAATAAGCATAAATGAGACTGAAGTAAATTAAAGACTAGATGCAATTTCCCCAGTGACTTCTAAGAGCATGATTAATAAGAATGACATGAAGGTCGCTGAATTTACTCCAGAGAAAAATGCTTCAGTCTAGATTTCAAACATCGGATGTTAAGAAAGAGGAAATATTGTATATTCTCATTATCCTGCTTATCAAACATATTAAAAAATTTGATACTTCACTGATAGATATGTTACAGAACTTACAACAACAACAACAAGCCCTGTGTAATCCCACAAGTGGGGTCTGGGGAGAGTGGTATGTATGCAGCCTTACCCCTTACCTTGTGAGGGTAGAGAGACTGTTTCCGATAGACCCTCGGCTCAAGTAATGTTGCAGACTTACCTTCTCTTTAATTAAGGCATCATATATTGTGGAGTCAAGCTTCAACTGTTTGGTACCTTTGATAGTTTTTAACCCAATTATAACATGACTAATGCTTTTACCATATCCACCTGTCACACTCTCACCCTCTTCTGGAGATAGTTCAGTCACCTACATTAAAAAAAATAAACAAATGAAGATCAACTTCACAACAAAAAAAAATCATTGCAGAATTATTGTATCAAAGACCAGCAAAATTGAAACGACAAATGGGATAGACTAGGGGACTTGCCTCTCCTTCATAAACTTCCTTATTTTCCTTGATACGGAGACCAATAGCTCGTCGGAAATTTTCCATTAAAACCTCAGTTTTCTTCACTTCTGATGAATACACTTCGGATCCAACCATCGGGCAAAATGGAACCTGCAATATTGAAGTCAATGCAACAATTATGGCACAGGCAATATTTTGGATTGCTCACCCTAATAAAATTTTAAGTAAATTTCATCTCAATAAACAAGGAGAAACTAAAATGCCCAATCAGCTCACACATTATCAATATTCAATCAATCAATTGCACCCTAAGCTAGTTGGGCTCGGTTATTTGAATCATTGAATCCTCTATATGAATTCCACTCTATTTGAGCCCATTTCATTCCAATACTGGTAAATAAAGTTCAAACATAATAAGTTGATAAAATAGAAGCATTAAATCCACAATCAAAAGAGTATAAAGAATGCACCTTGCTTCCAAGTTCTTGTGATATACCAAGGGCAAGAGCTGTCTTCCCTGTGCCAGGCGGACCAGCTAGCAGTAAAGCCCGACCAGCCATCTTCTTTTGGCGTATCATATCAACCACAAGCCCTGCAGCTTCTCTGGCTGCAGCCTGACCTACAAACCCAGCTGCCAATGGTAGTGGTGTCCCATTGGGCTATCATATAACACAACATAGTCACATTTAATCACCCATTTGTTAGCAAATCATTACACACGTACATGAAAGTTAAACATCAAATGCAAGAAAGTGTTTGGTAACTAATAGCTTGTTCAGATGGTTGCTAGTAGTTACCCATCATTTCAATGGGAAGCAACTAGAAATGTGAGGCGGAGAGGTCTAATAGACTATAGGGTGGAGTTCACTAGAAAGAGGATAAATAGGGAAATAACATTATGAAACAATAAGTAAAGGTATAATGGGTAAGAGAAATAACATTACAATACAACCACTCTTACATAAAATGTTCTTCTCGATGTTACAGGAGATTTAACAATACAATGCACAAAAATGTAAGTAACAATCAAAACAAACATTGTACTTAGATTAACAATACAATGAGTAACAACCATCCAAACAAGTTGTAAATAACCAGCGGCAGATAACAACTTTAGGGAAATATATCAGCAAGTCCAAACACCCTCAATACAAACTCCCAAAAGAAAACTAATCCAAATAATCTCCTAAAAAGGGTATTAATTAGTAACCAGAGACTAAGAGGGGTTGGGTAGAACCAGCACAAGATATCAGCTTTAAGCAAATTTAACACTATTAACTCAAAAACCCATAAACCCAAACACCAAACAAGAGCAAGCAAGTTAACCCAAAAAAATTCATAAAAGATCAAAAATAGTAGACAAAAGTGAAGAGCATGTTGGGTAGAATTAGCACAAGATAGCAGCTTTACCCAAATTTTAACACCAAAACTCAAAACCCCCCTTAAACCCAAACACCAAATAAGAGCATGTTGACCAGGAAAAATCTGCCTAAAAGGTCAAAAACAGTACACAGAAGCGAAGAGGCGGTTGGGTAGAATTAGCACAAGATAGCAGTTTTATGCAAATTTTAACACCAAATCTCAAAAACACATAAACCCAAACACCAAATAAGAACAAATTCACCCAAAAAAAAAACTCCTAAAAGATCAAATACAATACACATAGACGAAGTCAGCACAAGATAGCAGCTTTATGCAAATTATAACACCAAAAAACTCAAAAGCTCAAAAACCGATTAACCCAAACACCAAATAACAGCAAGGTAACCAAATAATTCCTAAAAGGTCAAAAACAATACACAAAAACGAAGAAGGGGTTGGCTAGAACCAGCACAAGATAGCAGCTTTATGCAAATTATAACACCAAAACTCAACAACCCATGAACCCAAACACCAAATAAAATCAATTCCACCTTAATTTTTTCCTAAAAGCTCAAAAATAGTGAACAGAGGCAAAGAGGGGTTTTGGGGTAAATGAAGAAATTACCTCAAGACCAAGGCCTTTAATGTGAGTATGAGTTGCAATTCTCTGATTCTTGATTGTTGATTGCACCTCTTCTATCTTCATATTTTTCTTCTCTATGTATTTCTTCTTCTTCTTCTTCTTCTTCTTTAACTGTCTGGGGTTTAACTGAGGCTTCTCTAATGGAGGTGATCCATTGAGGTTTTGAAGAGAGAAAATTGCAAATGAGCTAAAAGGCCCATCTTGTTTTCTATTATTTCAAACGACCCCCTTTAATTTCAAGAAAAATGCCACCTCAATCCTTTTTTGCTAGTTCCTTATTGGTTTTAATACGCGGATAAGGTAAAATATCTTAGAAGTAAGACGAGGATAAAATTAATAAATCATTTGGTTAATGTAAGGATAAATTTATATTGTCAACCAAATATAGTATAATTTTTATCCCAGACTTAATCACGAAAATCCTACCTTAATTCAAATGGGAAAAATTAGTCTAGGAATAATAATTTTAGGATTATAATCAGGATAATGTAGTTTGTGTTGTTTGATACGCGGGATAAAGTTTTGGATTAATTTTATATTATGTTTGGTTGACAGTATGATTAATGTGTATCGTCAACCAAACAACAATATAAATTTGATATCAATTACCTTAATCTTGAATATCCCATCAAATCTCAGGACTGAAAATTTGAGATAATAGTCTGTGAATTTGTACTATACTCCCAAGATAATTTAGTTTGTGAATTTGTTCTATACTCCCAAAATAATTTAGTCCATGAATTCGTACTATAATCCCGAGATAATGTGTAATCCCTCCGTCTCAAATCATTTGTCAGTGTTTCTCTTTTACACTCTTCTTTAAAAGTATTAATTAAGAACTTTTTTTTTAACTATCATACCATTATATATTTATATGTTAAGATATAATTTCCCTTCAACAAATATTTACTCTATTTATGTGTCATCATCCATAATTAAAGTGGCAATACTATCCAAAAACAATTACAAGTAAGGATAAAAACGAGAAAAGGATAATTAATTTATCTTGAACTTCTAACAATATCAAATCCAATAAAACTCCATAACTAGAGTTTGAAAATGATAAGAGTGTATGCAAACCTTACATCTAGTAGAGGTAGAGAGGTTGTTTCCAAAGAACTCTCGATTCTTATCTTGAATTTCTAAAATTATAAATGATTTGAGACAACTATTTTTAGAAATCACGACAAATAATTTGAAATTCAAAATGATAAAGTGTTGCATACTCTTGATTGAACATAACTTATAACAAATAAAACCAACTTGACATTGGAGTAAACATTTCTACCAAAAAAAAAAGACATAGAGTAAATCAAAATCATTTGACATTTTTGAGGAACAAATAGAACTTTTTTTCCATTCATTATTCATAAGCTTTCATGTTACAACATGATTCATTACATTGTAAATGCTCTCAAATGGGAAATGATAAAACACACTTTGAATCCTATTTAGTAAGTGACTAGAACACTTCCATTAACAAACTAAACAATGCATGAACAAACGTGTGTTCCTCTCCTCTACTCAAAGTGATTTCGACTCCAAATAGAAGCACGAAGGAAGCACAACTGCATCGAGTCAAGTTTTTATGAATTGTTCTTTACAAACTCAGGCACGAGGTTCGTTTTTCTGAACAGCTTCAACTTGAACAGTGGCTTGCTAATCTCCGGTTCCATCTTCCAGTAGTGAGTGTCTTTCAAGGATAGCAACGGTCTCCTCCTTTGCACTGTCATAAGTAGAGTAATTCATCAAATTTAAGCACAACAATAGTATAATGACTTTCTAGTCCAAACGGTAAAAACTGAAGAATAGTTGTTTCAACAACACAAAAATAATTGTATACAACAAGTGCATGACAGACATTGTCTAGAGGAATTGCACCAGACAGAAATCTAGATACATGAAGGTCGTTTTGTCCCTCGAAGGCTCAAACAATTATTTTTTTGCAAAAGCATAATAAAAGGGAAGATGTCATGGCTACAATCAACAATATATGGACTAGAACACATAAGCAAAAATATGAACTAGGCAAAAGAGAGATGACATTTGTTAGAAGAATGAATTGAGTGAAAAATGATGTAATACGCATTTCCAATTTTTTGGAGAAATCCTCCAAAGGAATCTTTTGTGGCATGGTCTTAGCGTTTTTTAATTTCTTCCCATCTGTCCTAGCCTTGGTGGATAGAGTTATCTAGTACTGTTATCAGTACTTGTTGCTGGTAGGAGGTGACATGTATTCCATGGAATTAGTCGATCTGGTACTGGTATTAGTACTTGTTGTTGGTAGGAGGTGACATGTATTCCATGGAATTAATCGAGGTGCACAAAAGTTGGGCCGGACACCACGATTATCAAAAAAATAAATGAAAATTCCATGGTTTGAAGTCCCACTGGAACTTCTAGTCAGAAAGCAAAGGAAAAGCTAAGGTATAAAGTTAGAAGCCTTTTAGGCACTGATTGAAGCATTTCCTTCTAGTCTGACTCTTTCATGTCTAAGTATTTTGCCAATTTGCCATTGCTAACGGATAAGTGATGAAACAATTGGAGAAGTGAGAGCAGTTTCTGGCATGCATCAAAGAAAGGTTGAAATATCCAGGCAAGCTGATGCTTTCATTGCCCTTCCCGACACATGACTAATAAGACGACTTTTAGACGAATGCCAAGTTTAAGCATGCTTAAAAATCTGGTTCTTTTTACCTAATCTCTACTTCTCTAAATTAATAAGCATCAGCTCAAGTGTTTTCTGGTTCAACTCATTCATTTAAGAAGTCGACTCTTTTGAAGCATTCTCAGAAAGATATCAGTTCATCTCAACAGTAGTTTGCACCTAGTCCCTAGGTACTGGAAGCTTACCTTCCAGGTCTTAGAATCTTGTACTTCCCCAGCTTAGTAAGATCCACCACTGTCGATCCAGCTCGCCCAGCTGGAAGAATTCCACCATCATAGACATATGCACAGTGCTCCCAGAGGTTCTCAAAATCTTTGATGTCTATGCTACTAGGTTGTCCGCTGAGGTTTGCACTAGTAAGCGCAAGGGCACTTCTAGAACCACGGGCAATCACCCTGATGAAGTTACAGTCTGGCACTCGAACCCCTATGCTCTCTAATCCAGGGTTTAATGACTTCTCAAGGATACTTGACTCACCTGCAGAATATCTGAATTCAGCATCCAGTACAGAAGATTCATAAGAGAAAGATAAAAGTTTCTGAAACTACTGAACACGGGCCAGTGTTTGCATAGGAGAGTGACTCATCTTGCTCCTTATTCAAGTGTGTCAACAAGTTACTGTCAGTTAGTATGTTACAATGAAGCAGTACTAACTTATGATATTTAACCTCTGAAGGATACCCGTGAATGCAGCATTTGTTGACATAACATTTAACTACTAACCTCGCCTTAAGACCAAAGTCACGGGTCCAGGAAGCAGGCAGTCAAGCAAGCCATGAGGCAGATGATCTGTCACAGCATAATGTTTTATGTCATGAACATCGCCAACACAAATAGCCAGAGGACTTGTATGCTTACGTCCTTTGATCTCATAAATACGATTCACTGCCTCAGCAGAACTACAGCAATTCATCATATAAAATTAAATCAGACTTCCCATAAATACGACTTAGATAAATAAACAACAAAGTAAATTGTCTTTTTGATAAATTTCTAGGTCAAACGAACAGTGAAACAACAAGAATGTTTGAGACTTTCTGTTCAGTCAAGAAGTTAATGCAATAGCCTATGAAGGATAGGCTTTTAAAAATATATACATGAAATTTGCCACTTTGGTTGCTAAACAATGAAAAAGGATGAACTCCATATACAAATTTCACGCAAAAAGAAATGTCTTTTTCTTTCTTTGTTGCTCATACGGAGGACTATATGAACTCACTAGCACAAAGAGAAATGCCATCAATCTTCCTTAAGGAGTCATGACCTTGATTGCTCTCCTCAATGTCAGTTATGTTCTCAGTTGCATTGTCAGCTAGAAGCATGTTTGGCAAACAGTATCACTAATATAACCACCTTTTACTGCTTCTTTGTAGTTAATTAATCTGTCTACTAGAGATTCCTGAGACGCTGTTTGATGATTTTGTGCCTTGCCCTCAGCCAGCATCATATTCAATTTGAAACCAATGCGGTGTAGTGACTTCAAACCATACCAATATCAAAACAGTTTAATTCATAAACTAGAGAAACCCTTTACTAAAGTGTAACAAGAGTGTGCCTAGGAGCATTGCTTCCAGAGCGTTTCCTCTATTCTTTTAGCACTGAAATTTCTTATTGTTCTGATTTATCCAACATCTCATTGTCCACATAGGCTTCATGATTATTAAATTTTTACTACCAGTAGAGATGTCATGCCTTGACCTCCTACTTCTCCTAATTGGTTCTTCTACTGGCTTATCAAAGTGAAGGCAATGTAATCAAAGGCCGATCTTATCATGCTAAGAAATTTAGTAAAGATTATTCGGGCGTCAATGCAAAATCTAAGCTCTAAATGAGTAACATTGAACCTAAGGCAAAAATATCAACAACACACTTTAGAGTACTTTGCAGCACAACTCTTACGTTTACTATCCAAGCATAATGTTTAATTCAATTCTACCCTTTCCTCTCCAATCAGTGTATCAAAGGCAAAAAGATAAAAACAAGCTCTAAGGTTTGTTGGGGATTTAAGTGTTGCGCAGATAAAGTGTGGGCTTTAATAAAGAAAGGCGCAAGTGGAATCATTTTTTATAAATTTGTATGTATAGTCCACGACTAATAATTATAAGCATGAATAATAAATATATGAACAAAGAAAATGAAAAAAAAAATCAAAATCGGTAAGCTGAAATATCAAATATCCCCTCTTCCGAATTACGCTCATTGAAAAGGAAAAGCAAGGCGAAGCACTCAACATGTTTTGCGCCTCACTTCAAGTCTTACAGGCACTTTTGACAACACTATCTCCAATCTAATTATTTTCTTCTAATACAAAATAGACCAAAACTCAAGAGTACTAACAGATTATTTGTACCAAGCAGCAACAACAACATATCCAGTTGCAATCCCACATGTGGGATCTGAGAAGGGGAGGACGTACACAGTCCTTACCCCTACGTTTATGGGATAGAGAGGTTGTTTCCGAATTTATTTGTACCAAGCATGCTCATAAAATTACATTACTATGTATCTAACATGACATTTTTTGTGTGTTGAACTTATCATCAAATGAAAAATAGCAAAGTAGAGGCATACCAAGCATCACAAGCAAAGCCATATAGTGTGTCAGTGGGAACAGCTATGACTTTCCCAGCCCTGATAGCTTCAATTGCCTCTTGACCATAATCTTCTGCTGCAGGAGACACTGTAGCCTTCTTAGTCTCCACATTCCCATCAGGGTTATCCAAACTCCAAGCCATTTTCTTCACACTAACTGCACTAAAACCCTTCCTACTTCTTGCCCACAAGTTCAAAAATCCAATTTTTTCCACCCCTGCCATCAAAAAAAGAAACAAGAAACCAAAAAGTTTTAATCTTTGTAAGGTCTAAGCTAAACTGGAAACAAAAACTATAAGAAAGACTAAGGGTATGTTTGGTAGGAGGAAGTATTTTGCAGTTTTCTCATTTTTAGTTGCTCAAAATATTTGGAGGAAAAACTCTTTCCTAGTGAAAATAGAAAAACAAGTTCCAATTCTGGCATGATTGTCCTCCACCCCCACCCCCACACTATCTCCATCATACTCCACCCCATCCTCTCATAGCCTCCATCCCCCACACCCCCCACACCTGCACTCAGCTCATCCTCATAGTATCCACTAGATTATATACAAATATTTTTGAAATAATATTACCTGAATATGTACTGAATACAAGAAAATAAGTAAAAAAAATCATTCTTTTTCCAAGATTGCATTTTTATTCATACCAAGCACACTCTCTCCACCATACTCCACCCCATCCTCTCATATCCCCATCCACACCACCCCCACACCTATAACCAGTACTAGCACTATTTGTCTAGATTATATACAAATATTCTTGAGACAATATTGTACTAACAAAACACAAGAAAACATATCAAAAAAATCACTTATTTTTCTCCAAGAAAGCATTTTTATTCATACCAAGCACACCCTAAAAGGGAAGATAAAGTTGTAAAATATTCCTGGAACAGATAAAAGTGAAAATTGCAGTGCTGACATAAACATAAAGAGTACAATAAAAGAAGAAAAAGGGGAGAAGACTAACGATGAGTGAATATGAAAGAGCACCTCGAGAAGGGTATATGAAAGAGTTGAAAATAGGCAGAATTTGGACTATTTTTGTGGGTCTGCTGCAATTCATCAAGCTGCCCTGCTGCAACTTTGCTCTGTTTTTTTCTATATATATCTCAAGAAAGTGTAGTCTACAGACTATGTATGCCCTATTTGGTTGGAGGTTCAGCCGCCAATTGCTACACACATTTTATCAACCTTAACATGTCATGAGGTCTAAATTGGTAGACCCGAAATCTTAATACCTCATATGGTCGATTGGAAACAAGAATTCATCGTTAAAATAAAAATTGTATGTCCAAATTCACAGTCAAAATAAAAGGTTTGACTTTTGACATACAAACGGTTATATACAAATTAAGACAGCGAGAGTATTGACTTTTTATACTATATATGTTTGTGCAGCATATCAAATGATCCCTAAGAGATGTGATTAAAAATTGTATGTCCAAATTCACAGTCAAAAAGGTTTGACTTTTGACATACAAACGGTTATATACAAATTAAGACAGCGAGAGTATTGACTTTTTATACTATATATGTTTGTGCAGCATATCAAACGATCCCTAAGAGATGTGATTGAAGGTATGAAATCTTGAGTTCGAGTTTTAGTTTAGAAATAAAAAAATATTTACTAGGAATTAGTAGGAAACACTTTCCTGCTACATGTCATGAAATTAAGTTAATTAGGGTTTTTTTTCTTCAAGTAAACTTCACTAGGTATCCTAATTTTTTTTTTACCTTGACCTAAAATGCTTTAATTCATCTAAAAAATAATTTAACAAACACATGCTAGTTAGACCAATATGTTAAGACTTGTCAATAATTTAACGAGATAGGTAGAATGAAGATATAAGATATATTCAGACTTCTCAATCCTGCATAACTTGTGGAAAGTTGAATAATGCAAATTAATTTTATCAATCTAGTATAACTTGCGAACAATTAAAAGATAAATAGAAAAAAAATTACTTTAAATCATGCATCTAATATGTCCTCTTTTTGGTGGACAGAGTAACCTGGTGGGAGGTAACATATATTTCGTGAAAATAGTCGAGGTGCAAACTAACTTGAACACTACGATTATCAAAAAAATAAATCATACACTTGTCCGACTTGACTTGTGAACACGACAAGTTTGTCCATCTGTCATGTCTTATGAACAAGTTAAAAATCGGATCGAATGAAAATTGTACTTAAAGTCATAGTCGTTCATCATGACTCGTAAAATCGTAATTTTCCCTTAAAAACACCTTTCTATACTCTCTTCTACTTATATATGCATTTCACTTTTTACATATTCTTTCAGCAATACAAACAATAACATCAACTATTTCTGTTTTTCCTGTAGTAGAACACAATAAACTTCTAATTTGTATTAAACATCAATCTCCACAACTCTGTATGAACAAATCACTCAACTCTTTTTTGGCTATAACAGTAACATAAGACACAATCTAGCTCCAACTAAACGTCTCGGGATTTTCTATATCGTGCTGATGATTTTGAGGACCTACACGAGACGTTGTAGCAGGTTGATTCATCTGTGGCCATCCTCCTGGAGGCAAAATCATCTCTGCATTTTGCTGCTGTTCTAACAAGGCTGCTCGTCGCCTTTTCCATCTAAAGAACTCAACGAGTAACGAACTTGCACTCATTGCAACTCCAAAGCCAGCAAATGTTGATAGCAGAATCGAAAGAACTGGTTGCACGCGAACCTAACGTATCATACAGATGTAAAATTTAATCAGCTCAGTATATCTAGTAAGCTCAAAAACACCATTTCCATCAATATCATTAGATACTCCGTTAGTCTCATTTTAAGGGGGCGTTTGACCATAAAATTCTTGAAAGTTTCGGAGTAATCCATTCCTCTCTTGATTTTCTAAAGCGACAATTATTTTGTAACATCTTTCTTAGGCAAAAAAGACACTTGAAATGAGACGGAGGGAGTATTAACTTACCAAAGAGTAGAAGATATGTGCAAATAGTACTACTAGGGCGAATTGAACCGATGCATATACCCAAACAAACCTTCGCTTAACTGCACCAGAGATAATACCATAGTCAAAATACAAATAAAGACACAATGGACATGAGATCCTTGACAACATTTTTCGAGAAATAACCAAACGAAGATCCAATGTATCTATCTTCTTTCCTAATTAGTTGATTTCAACTGAATTGGCAAGTCCACTTGACTTATGACGCGACTAATGCATTTGATAGATCAAAGCTTGTAAAATGTTACCGTTAATGATAAATCACATACCCATAGTTGAAGATGTCATTGACGCGAGTAGGCCTAGTACACAAGAAAAGGGAAGTGAAATAGCAATTGCACCGGTACCCATTTTCCCAACCTGCAGATGGGACAACTTCAAATTTAGTACGATAAATACATTAGATGACTGTTTTCTCTCGAGATAAAGACGATCTTCTAAACATACCAGTAGCTGCTCAAGAAAACAAAAGTAGGCAAGCATGCTGACAATGACAAGAATTGGTAATTCCTGCCAAACCCTGTCCAGTGTAGCAAAAGTCAGGAACCGAATTTTATTGAGTTGCCATTGCTAAAGACGTTTAATTGAAACTAACACCGTGATCTTAGTATTTATAGTTGAAAGAAACCAGTAGAATAAGCAGAGAAACGATGAACGAGAAGAAAGAGTATAGTACTTCTTTTATGGTCTAACAATGTTGTGTTCTGATCAAAAACAGAACGAGACTTTTTTGTTCAAACGTGAGGAATCTTTTATATATGTATGTCAGTTTCAGTAACGTGACGCGAGGAAGGTGGAATCTTTTCTTTCTTAGCTGCTAAAATTTCTACGAAAAGTTGAAGGGCGTATGTTAAAATGATGAAAAGACATTTACCTGTGTCCATTTAATTCCATATACCGATACCTATTGGATCCTGCATTTGCATTTCGAACACTTTGCATACGCAAGAGTGTAACGGGGAGATTCTTGACTTCTTGTTTGCACACATCACATGTCTTGTTACCTTTGATACTAAACCATTTTAAAGCACATTCTTGATGAGCCAAAGCAAGTTCGCCTTTGCAGCTGCATTCCATCTTCAGCGTCTCTCCGCCTTCACATAACTCAACTAGGCAAATTCGACAAACAGCCTCCTCTTCTGGTATATCTTCACCACCCTGCTCATTATCCTCTGAGAGAAAAAAATAATCGAAAGGGTATATCAAGAGTCAAGACGGTGGCATCTTTAACACTCCCTCTGTTTCAATTTGCTTGTCTTACTTTCCTTTTTAGTCCGTTTCAAAAAGAATATATCTTTCTTTTTTTTGGCAACTCGTTAATTCTAACTATCCACATGACATGTTTAAGACCGCAAGATTCAGAAGTCTTCTTTACTTTCTTAAACTCTATGTCAAGTCAAAACCAGGCAAACAAATTGAAACGGAGAGAGTAATACATCAAAGCCTATGAATGCTTAAAATCAAAATCTAACAAGAATCAAATTGATTTGAAGCAATTGTTTACCAGGTACTTTCGCTGGACTCGTAGCTGGAACTGAGGAAGAATCCACATCCTTCACTTGAGGCGTTGAAGGAATAACTCGAAAGAAAAATTCTACTCTCCTATTGCTTCCCTCTTTTTCTTTGTTAATGACTGGTAAAGACATCGATCGTGAAATGCACACATGTGTTTCCTTTGTCTGCAATAACAACACATCATATTTCAAATGAATGCATCAAAAAATTACCAAGAATTCAACTATTCCATCCGTCCTAATTTAAGTGTCTTCTTGTGGTCTTAAACTAAAGATGTTAAATATAGAAAGAGACTCTTTTCGGGACAGACTAAAAAGGAAAGTAAGATACTTAAATTGGGACAAGGGAGTATATATATTGATATGAAACGAATCAAACAATGTTAATAGAACTTACACCAAGTGTTAGAGAGTTGCTGATGCTTCCACTAATAGACTCTGGATTTGAATGAGCAATTGGTGTAACGGGCAAAGACGAGGTCCTCTTGATACGAGGCGTAAACATTTTAGAAAGTGACCATGACCTTGAAATGGATACCTTCTCTTGTTGTGGCACAACTGCAGCAACTGGACCTGAATCTGGGACAGTTATCTTCTCTGTATCCGAATTCATACGTGATTTCAAGCTCAGTTTAGGGAAAAGGTTTCTAATAGTTGATTTTCCACGACACGGGGAGGGACCAGGTGATGAAGTAGTTATTCTTGAATCACAAGTACTAGGTGTCAAAAGGAAATTCACCCTCTTCGGTGTAGGCGTGAATGGTCTTTTAATCTGAACTAACTCTTGAGGAGAGGCGTCTAACGTTCTTGAAGGTATGTCCAATGATAGGTTTGGTTTCCTCCAATGTTTAGCATGTGTTGTTTCTTCAGTAATCATGGATGACCTCTCGATCTGTACAACGAAGAACAAATAAGTTCGTTTAGTAAACTAGTGATCAAGAAATGCACTCGGGGTCCTAACTTTGTCGAAACACAAAGCAATTCACTTCAAGAACTTGATCAACATCTCCAATTATACTACAAATTCATAACACTCCCAAGTCCTAACCACATTAAGAAAAAGAACATAATAAGATGTCTTTACACTCAAAACCCGTGACCTATACGTCACACAGAGACAACTTTTACCGTTGCTCTAAGGCTCCCCTTCAAAAGTTACATACAACAAGTTACAAATAGATAAATCAAATTGTAATAACAAAACAAACAGCCAAGATAAAAACACAGTTACACAGAAGTACACAAAACAACAAAAGACTCAAAAACTCTGTTTACATTTCTCCTTCTTATCAAACAAACCAAAATAAGAAAACAAAAGACTATGGGACAAATACTGCGATAGAGCCAGAATTTTCACTAGGATGTTCAAAATATACTCCGACAGTCTCAGATAAGTTGGGGTCGGTACATCTACTATATATACAACAAGCCGGGACGGATGGAGCTTTCACATAACAGATTCATCTGAACTCATTACTTTCCACGTGAAGTATAAATTCGTGTAAAAATCCACTAAATTTTCAATAAATAGTAAATATCAACCCATACGTCAAGAAATATAATAGATTAAATGCTAAGAACAAAAAAATATTGAACTAATGGAGCTAAAATCCTGGATCCGCCTCTAACAACAATAATTAACAACAAGGCCTTAGTCTCATACAAGTTGAGGTCAGTACATCTACTATATATACATAAAAATAATGTTTGACATGTATATACA